GAAAATAGATGTTGATGTGAAGCAAAGTCATGGTTATCCACATATGTCCATCTGATACCTTTCACCAAGCGTTGAACACCCTACATCCCTGTTCATCCATTTTCTTTTGATGGCTCATTTAATTATATTCCTTCTCTGCTGATTCCTTGATATATATGTGTTGTTATGAAATGATGATAATATTTCCAAGTGGTTGTGTACTTCTCTTCATTTAATGTAGTCAGTTCACGTACACGGATAATTTTCTACTGATCTTGGGTTAATCAAGTGGATATTACAAGCAGCACGACGGCTGTATACGGACCTTATCATAGTCTTACATATCTTAACTGAAATATCTCAACATTTTGTTGTGAAAGATGAAGTGTATTGAAAGGAGGGAAAAGACATTACTATGATCAGAAAAGAAGTTCATTGAGACATCCAAAAAACAAAATAATGCAGCGAATAAAACTTTCTTGTCGACAAATCATTTTCACTGACTGTACAGTCGTATTTATAATAATAACAAACAAACAAGCAGAAAAATAGGTCTATTTTGAGGTAGTACTCATCACAGACTGACATCAGTTAGGGAACCATTCAAAACTTGGGAGCACTAGACAGCCGTTTCGTCCTAGCATAGGACTCCTTAGCAGTACATGCCCATGACCCACGTAGGGATCGAACTCAGAACCTTCAATGGTTCCCTAACTGGTGTCAGTCTGTGATGAATACTACCTCAAAATTATTATCCCCATTCATCTGAAAAATACATTACTAAAGAAGTCTATTGTTGCCTAATAGGTCAGCATTAAGTCATCAAATTGAAATGCTCTCGAATAAAGTTGTGACTCCTTTCTACAGTTAGAAAGAGCTTACGCAATCATAGTGTGCATAAAGAAAATATGCAATCGATCACGGTGATGACCAATAGGTTAAGAATAATACTATTTATAATCAATTATCGGAGTAAAATATGAGGATTTTAATGGGAGATAAGATCTAACATCTTAAGACGTAAGAAGTAAACCGTAAAATTAGTAAAAGTAAGATGAATATTCAATAAACAAAAGGACTCAATAAATGGTTATAACCAACGATCTACGTCTTTTGTACGTATAGCCCCGGCTTTAGTTGTTGGATTTTCAACCTCTCTGCTGTACATAGATGACAAATCTGCATTCATTTTGAGCCGCTTGGCTTGACTTCCTATACGATTCCAACTTTTCGTTTATTGTGTCATTTGCGCAAGTTCTTCTTGTTCTGGTGCAAAACTAGGCTCTTTTTTTTAACTCACTGGTACACAACTTTGGAAATCAGTGTATGGTTCATTCCGAGTTAGTTTTCTGTAGATTGACCTTCATTAGGAACTTTAGAGTTTTCTCTGCAGTGAAATATCAAGAAAATGAAATTTTGATTTGTACTCAACTTCCATCATGAAATTGACCAGACGATGAATGCATCATTAATATATCTTTTACACTAGTGGAACTAACTGATAATTGGAAGCAGTTCGGTGTTTTCCAAGTTAACCGTGAAGCAGTCTGCTGGGAGGGGACCCAGCAGTGACTCCAGAATTACTCAATCTTTTTGTCGATAAATTTCGTTATTAAATTGGAATCGTACAACAAAAGTGCATCATAGAATTCTTTTCGATAGTGAATTAGAACGCCGACTGCTAGATGGTCTCTGCAAGTGGAACGTTTGTGAAAAATTAAGTGATATCAAAAGAGAATTTTCGCTTTCCAGATACATTTCAGTTACTTACTGCATCGATAAAACCAAATGAATCAAGTGAAATATATCTGTTAATCCGACTTCTCATTGGTTGGAGAGTTTCAGTCAGCCACTTAGCAATCGCATGATATAGGGGATTATTCCTATCCAATATTAAACGGAGAGGAAAATCCTTTTTGTGCATCTCTGGCAGGTCAGAGAGTCAGCTGTTTTCACGTGTTCGAACAGATGACCGCTAGTGATCGACTCGTTTCTCATCTTTTGAACACAAAGAGCAAGCTTGTGGTGTTGGACTGTCAGAGCTTCTGCCGTGTTTAGGTGGCGAATACGCACTCACTTCGAATTGTTTACCTTTGCTTTATAAATGACTTCGAAAGAAAACTGTCGTGGAGCACAGTGACTCGAGATAACCATATACTCAAGAGTAGATCTGTTAATGGCTTTACACTGTCCTTTAGACAGCCATTCAGAATAGGATAATACTCCTCAAAGTATTTCCAGCTCCTCATTTACTGCATAATCGGTACAAGTTTTTGTAATGCGTGTGCATAATGAATGAATTAGATTTCTTTTCGTGACTATTGGAACCCAGCTATTAAAATGAATATGTTGATCATCCTTAGTTTGTTTTCTGTAGATCGATCTCCCTAGAGAATCATCATGTCTTCTTTTCAAGAGAACGTCCAAAAAGTGGAATTGAGTTATCTTCAATGTCCATGGTAAATTTAATTGACTTATGACATTCATTGAAAAAGTGCGTGATATTTATATTCAACATCAATATAAAGAAAGAAGTTAGTAAAGGTTCTCATTTTATTTTGGAATTCCACTATCTTCACTCATCTGACAATCTAGGAAATGAGAAAATACATCATACTCGTCATTCAACGTCACATCTCCCCTAAATTTCCGAAACTTAGTGCCTATTGTCTACAGCAATCCCTTTCCAGGTTATTTTAGTTATTGAGATTTACTTTTGCATTGATAGGTTTCACTTTCTCGATCTCATTGTCACGGTTTTTCTAAAATCTCTCTTTGTTATACGGAATAACTTTAGTTGGCTTACCTCTTTAATAACTCAAGCACTAGTGAACTCGAATGTAATTCATTCATTCAATTTCATTTCTTACGTCAAACCTACTCGGACCACTACGCAGTAATGCTTGATCCTACGTTGATGATGATGATGACCTAGTCTACTTAGTTCACTGCAAACTGTGTTTGCCATTATGCTAAGCTACAGTGTAGTGGCATTGTTACATTTTCTGTTGAATATGTGGAAACAATCGATGGCAAAGTTTGGTAATATATTGTTTCGTTATTGTTACTGCTCTGGGTGACATTCATTTTCCCTTTGAGTTTTGAAACTGTGATTTACAACGCTGTAGTTGAAACAGTATATCCATGAGCCAACTGGTCTCACTACAGACCACGATGATTCAGACTTATTGGTTAAAAGCTTGCTGAATTTACAGTGGTACGGTGATAAAGATTGTCGTGAATTGCTGTTTTTTTAATGGTTAACTTGAGACTCGAATTCTCAGGATGATTGGTTCTCTTAGTTAAAATTTTAGGAAGTAAACATTTTGATCTTACTATCAGCTTGTCGGTCATGCAAAACCTAGTTGTACAAGATATCGTCTACTTGAAGATGCCTACAACTTATATTTTCCCTATTGCTATCATTATTACAGTATTGTCTACAACCAGAAAAGTATTTGGGATTTCCTATTCTTCAATAAAATCAAACGAATTTTGGGTGGTCATGTCCAGTGTATCGTATGTGGCAGTGCACCTGCTCCGTTTGAAATTATTCGTTTTACGCGAGCTGTTTTTGGCTGCCCAGTAAGTAAAATGTCGATCATAACGTTTTGCGTTATTTTAAAAAGTGAACATTCATAAACCCTTACTGTTTCATAATCTATATTACCGATACTAGTATTATCATCATTATTAATACCATTCACTCTATTTCATTTTATTAAGCATCTAAAATTAAACGCCCAATCCCGTATGAATAGATTGTCAATATTGTAGAATGCTTGAGAATACAGCTAGTAGTTGAGTAATAAAACCTTGTGTAATGCAGTGAATTTTTGTAGCTCACTCTGCAGACTTTTGAATGATGTTATTTTCTGAGTTGGTCGATACAGAAGGCTAAATTCACCTTTACACCTCTAAAAGGTTTTAACTAAGTACATGGACACAGGCACTCGAGGTTTACCCACACAATAATGACATTCAACTACTCAAATTTGAAAATTTTTATTAGCTTCATTCAAACAAATTGAGTAATTGCTGACTGGAAACTGCCAAATAGTACACCTAAGTGGTTCAGTTGTACTACAAACAAAGTTTAGTGCAACTATTCAGATTCGATTTAGTTGTACTTGGCACCTATAAATGTTAATTTTATAGTTATGTCTTTCTTTTTTCTATAAAGTTGCACAGATTATGTGATTCATGTTTTTTTCCAAGAGTGTAGCACTGTGTTGAAATGTTGCCTTATCATTTATTTATTTGTCCCTTGGGTTCCTAGTGGAACATAGAGCTTCAGTAGCACGTCGCCATTTCATTCTTTTCTCTCCAGTCTTTTTAACCTGGCTGCACGACTGCCAAGAAGCTTTCATTTCTTCCTCACACAATCTCCTCCCTGTCACCCTCACCTCGGACGCACAACTCGTCGTTTCCCCTTTGGGTTCCACATGAGAGTCTGGCGCCTGGTATCCGTAAATGGTCTTCTCAGTGTATTTCCAATCCAATCCATCTCTACTTTCTTCTGCATATTTGTTGGGTGACAGGTTCTTGCTAGGCCAGAGTTCCTTGTTGCTTATTCTTTCTGGCCATCTGGTCTTCAGTATCGAGTGAGCGTAGGCGGCAGCTGTTGTTGAATGACTACAGTCTGTTGGAAATGCTTAACGTAACGCGCCAAGTCTCTCAACCATATAGAAGCAAAATGCTGGCTTATGAGAGACAAAAGCTCTGAAGATGCCGAATCATTTGATGGTTTTATGGCTTTTTCTCGTTTGAATTTATCACTGAAGTTCTTAAGTACTACGTTGAGAGTATTAGGATTTATTTTGATGCCTTCTCTCAAAAACTTCTAAAATATATACCCTACAACTACCACATGAAAACCATAAATATCACGATTGTATGCTGTGGCACATTTCTAGCAGTTCATGTCTTGAAACCAATCGATTCCCCCCATAAATATGCATTATCTGTGTAACAGGTGATTGAAATAAGAACCCATGAAACAAAAATCAGTAAATTCAGTTTCCGATTTTATGTGATGTATTAAATTCTGAATTTGAGACACTGCATGAATCTATTTTCAAACTGTTCAGATACTTCCTCACTTATTCTATTGATAGCTGACACGTTTTGCGTTAAAAGTTGTTTGAATCCTGTGCAGATTTCCTAAGTGGAACATTGATAAATTGAACTTTCTCTAATAACAGAACTGTGATATTGTAATAAGGTTACTCGATGCATCAAATAAATCAAACGACACATCGTTAAACGTGTGTTTCGAAGCCTAAAATATGTTTATTTATCAAAAGACAGCTAACTTTGAATTCACTTGAAATTCTGTTTATTTGTACCCTCATATTCCGTTAAGCATATAGTGTTTATTTTGAAAAGGCTTCATGACTCCTCAGACTGATTCTTTTGAAAGAAGTGTGATGTCTTCGTTTGCGAAGTGTACGAATTCACCACTCTGATTTGTAAATCGAGCCATTGGTGACCAGATGTCTTTTTGTTGGATCCAGTCACCTAATCACTCATGTAAAACTATTCCAAATTTAAATTGTTCTTTTAACTCATATCTTGCGGCGATTTTATCTTCAAGTTTTTCCTTATAGGTGTTGATAGGGTACGGATTGACTGAATCTTGTGGTGTTGTTAGTATCACATTATTTGGTGATACTAAACCAGACCATGTGGGCGCACTTATTCCAGGAGTTTCGGTTAAATTAACAGATATTCCGTCTATGGACATCTATGTGGATAAGATGAAGATCGGCGAGGTATGTTACTTCTTTATATACTCATTCAACTTTTGGTAATGTTAAACTATCTCACTCCCCGTTAGATGAAATAACTAGTAGTCTAAAGCTATCAGTTTCGGATAGTCTGTAGAAAAGTGTCAATATAGCATACTTTACGTTCAACTCCTGGACTTCAAATGACCACTGTAAAGCCGTCTAGTTAACTGTGTACTTTTCACTGGTCTACATTGCGGCTGAGCAAATGAACAGTAAATCATGCATACTTATATCTACCAGTTATGGCATATACATATAAACCTCGATGTAACAAATTAAGTTGTAAGGTTATCTTCCAGCCTTATGTTGGGTGTCTCGCAACAGCATTTATTATGCTCGTTTGAAACTTTTAATATAGCTCAGAATCTACTTGGAAGTTTCCTAGATTCTTTCAAGAAAGATTTGTTAGTATCATGAACCAAATTTTCAGCTTCCGATCTATTAGGTCACAGTTTTCTCCTTTTGCGTTTACAGTATTTTTCTGAGTTAGCCTTACTTCCCGAATGGATATTTATACATGAAGGTGAGGACAGGATTTGAAAATGAACATCAATCCTGTTAGAATTCGAGCCGGTGACCTGATTATTTGACTAAGTAATCTGATTGCCTGATTAGAATTTCAGGTTACCAAAATGTTTCCACCATATATGTTACATGAAGTTACTGCTTTAGCATTTGTTTTAATTATTCAGATGTCAACAAATCGCTAAGCGTACTCTCGCGCGTTCTTGAAATGTCTCCAATTTATCGTCACACACGTTGACAATAAAATCTCATCATAGATGGCATTGGGCTCTTGAACGCACAAATGTTCACATAACTATTACAGAAGTAGTCAGCAGAAACTGCAAACGTTTATACTGACTGAAGGACCATGAAACCTACGGAATCTTTTTTATTCGTTCACTCATACAACAACTTACCCACAAAATAGACGATAGATAACCTAAGAACAACTGGTCGTTGTGTATTATTGCTGGTCATACTGTTATTAATATTATTTCATTTGAAAATACTGTACAAGAAGTAAATTTGTTGAAATATCACACTGACAATTCGATACTGTATTAAAAATTACCATCTGGAATGAGGTGATTGTTGTTGTTGTTGTTGTTGGAAAACAATGATTCGATGCTCTATCGAATGGGCTACAAGATCAGCCTGGTAGCTAGTTTTCAATTCCTTATCCACTACCCAGTGTTTAACGGGACTCTTGCGAGCGCGAAGTCAATATTCTCGTATTGTGTTGACACTATGTAATTTGTTTGATAAAAAACGCAACTCAGAACTAAATATAGACTGCCCAGAATAAATATGAAGCTCAGTTGCCTTGCAGTATTACCCTATACATTTAAGTTAAGTTATCTGATTGTCGTTGCTGTTTTATGCAGTGTAAGAAACTAACTTCCAATATCTTTTTACGAGCTATTGTAAACCAATTGATTTATTCGCACTCACTTCTAGGTCTTGCGGAACGGTTCCACGCCTTTGGTCGCCTGCTGTAGCCCGGTGGGTGATTCGGTGTTGATTAAATTTATAGGGATTGTACGATTTGTCCTGAGACTGAGTTCCTCGAATGTCGTGCCACTAGACAGTTGTTCGGACTGGTTGTGAAAAGAAGATAGAAAGGAAGAAGAGATGTCCGACGAAATCAAGGAAGAGGAAGTGCAGAAAAACAAGGTGAAAAGAAGGGGAACAGAAGGAAAGGAAAAACCTAGTTAGATTCAGAGAGATAACAGAGATAGGGAGGACCTAATAAATCGGATGAAATCATAGGGTCAGCGAGAGAGAAGGAGCAAGTAAGATTATATGATGGATTATGGGGATAGAAATAGTAACATTATTATTGGGGTATGATAACTGGAGGTGAGACATCTGACAGCAAAGTATAAGGTTAAGTCAATTTCGCGATGATAGTAGTTGTACAAAAGACTTGGTATAGGCTTGGCTTTGCTGGATTTTGCGGAATTCTCTTTTTTTTTGACTTGTTTTTCGAAGCTGACTAATAAGTATGATGGTCCCTATGGATTTCCTGAATTTTGTGTTGGATTTTGTGAAACGGTTCCGTTCTTCGGCGTTGCGATTTTGGGCCGGCAGAATTGTGGCAATTTTTCTTACTGCTTGGAGGATATAATCCAGCCTCTGACCGCTGTAGGTTTTATAGTTGTAGTTGTATAGTAGCATATCTAGTGCTAAGCTGTGGTATTTGTGTGTTTTACTGCGATTGTAAAATATGGGTCTTATTCGATTCGTGTCTTCGCCAGATTCGTGAGCTGACTTATACTTCGTGTTTGGCTCCTTTTACTGTTCGAACTAATTGTGATTCTGAAGTAAAGAGGAGATTCAATGTATGAATAATGCTTTATAAGAGATTTCACCAGCTCTTCATACATAGTGTTTTAGCGAAGAGAAGTAAGATTCGCGTCTGATATTTCCACAGTAATATTTGGATACACTTTCTGTAGGCGAAGGATGAATGAGTGGGAGAGAGAAATATATGGATGAACAGCTTCATCTCTATCATGAATTATTCTGATCTTTTAGCCCTTAAATCTTTCCTTGTTTCCACTGGTGGGTTCGCTTGTACCTCAAGTGAAAACTCGTGATTTCGACGCTACACTGCATCTACAGCGAAATGCATGACACTGAGAGCAGAGTTGAAAGCGTCAGCGACTATATGTGTCTGCCAGTATATACCCGGAGAAGGCGTGAGTGGGCATTTGTCATAGAGGACTCAGGAAATAATTGTCGTATAGTTCTAAATTTTTATCAGCTCAACTTGCGGTAACTTTTAAAAGACCTCAGCTACTTTTTAACTTAAAGCGATACCAGTTTCCTTATGATTGCAGATATGCCTTGGTGATGAGCGCCAACAATCACCAATTTTTTCGGTTATATTCCGATAATGTTTTTGTACTGAATGTACTTATTTTATTCTTCTTATCATCTACACTATAGGTTTGTGTTAAAAGTGACCATTGTACAGAAGGCTATTATGATGATGAAGCCAACACAAAAGAGTTGATTGACAAAGATGGATGGCTGCATACGGGTGATGTTGGCACTTGGACTGAAGTACGTTTACTAATATTGCACTTTTCAATGAATTGTTTATTTTCCTTTATAAATAATTAAGCCATAAGCTGACGGCCATTTAACACTACTTGATTGAGAGGTCCCACTTGACAATGAAACCTACAGCATAAAAGTAGTTAGAATTATTCTTAGTAACTTCAGTAATTGCTTGAGTTTTTAGTCAAGGTCTAAATATCTTAGTGATAAAGTCTCCTACTACAGCACCTAATGACAAGTGTTTGAGTCTCCGCGCACAAAAACCACGTACGGGTTTTCACATTAACTACATGCAACTAATCAACATTGAATTTTTTACACAGTGTAATGAAAATTATGTGAATCACGTAATTTATTAGCGCTATACATTTCGAATAAACTGACGACATGAACTTGTCCACTTGTTTGACTGAAATTTACGAATAAGGTCATTTAATTCGATAGGAAACAAAGGAGTAGGAAGAGCAGAACAAACACAAGATATAAATGTATCACCCTTGGTATCAAGATAGAAATGAATACTGCCAACGTTGGTTCAGAATGACTACAAATTGTTGTTTTTGTATACATAAAGGGGGTTTAAATTCACCTACTTCCAGGTGGAAGTTTCTCAAACTTGAGCATGCGAACGATGCCATTCTACTGCGTGACTATACACACTACTCAAATTCCACTTAATCATTGAGTAATCAGCGTCTCTAAGTATGGTATGTGGCTTTGGCCGGACACTATACTTGCACTCATCCTTGATATTGAAGCACGAGAAGTAGTTGAAATGTTTGTGTATTTAAATATTTGTAGGAGTGCTGGTAGATGTGTGACCGAAGAAATTTCTAACCGCATATCAAGAACCAAAATGATGTTTGCTGGTCTAGGTCACGTTCCAAGTTGTAGCGATTTCACCTTGTCTGTACAGTGTCTAGTGTGCTGGCCATTCCGCTCTACTCCTGTGAAACCTGGCCTATCGAGGCTTAGGATGTCCGACGACTTTGAATGTCCGAACACTATGTCCTCAGTAGGACTGCTGGGATTCAGGGAAGCACAATGTAAGTAATTCTGAGGTGAGGTGGCGATTGTTTATATGTGATGGTGATCATTATTCATTAAGTGAGGTCATCTTGAAACACTAACTATAATAGCTTGGACATGTTTGCAATATCAGTGACTTCCAGTTCTGGTCTGTAAATAATGGAACAAGCAGTTTATTGTGTTATTCCGTGGAATGAAGGATTACTTTGTTGGGTTAACATCTGTTAGTTCCTCATGACCCTTTGGGTGCACTCTGTGGAATCATGCAATTCAGTAGCTTCAGACGGTGTTAGATGTGACCCAGAATCGAAACCCGTGGTAGAAAATGCTTCTTTGAATCTATTCTTAATACGGCTTCTCTAATAACCAATTTCCTTTTCCCTCCTTTCATCTACATCACTCTTTTGTCTCATTGCTGCTATATATAGTTTGTACGGTATACCTCTTGACGCCTACGTTGTGCCAAGCTTTTGTTTTAAATCGCTGGCTGATAAAAGATGTCGCTAGTGACCTTCGTTATATTCCGAATGAATACTTACTTACTCTGAATATGATGTTTACCTTTGAATTTCAGGAAGGTGCTTTGCGAATTATCGACAGGTGTAAAAATGTATTTAAGCTATCCCAAGGGGAATATGTCGCACCGGAGAGGCTGGAAAACATCTACCTGCTTAGTCCACTGATTGAACAGATTTTCGTCGATGGTAACTCACTATACAACTTTCCAGTAGCCATAGTCGTACCAAATGTGAAAGAGTTGACAAAACTGTTATCGAACAAATCGAATTCAGATGGTGTATCTCTGGATGCCAACAACAACAAGACCAAACATAAGTTGAGTGGGTCGCGTGAAATTACAGATAACTCAATACTATTTTCACAACCCATGCATCTAAAGTCGTTGTTTCAGAATTAGAACGAATAGGAAGAAAGGAAAAGTTGAAAGGATTTGAGATTGTAAGTTTTATATTTGCCATTTTTGTGTTGTTCGTTACAACTATTATTAATCATCCCTCGGGTTTCTAATGGAACACAGGGCTTCAGTAGCACGTCTCCAGTGCACTCTCTTCTCTGCCATCTTTTGAACCTGTCGCCACGACTGCCCACAAGCTCTCAATCTTCCTCACACGACCTCCTCCGTGTCACCCTCGTCGATTCCCATTGGGGTTCCACTCGAGGGCCTAGTGCGTGATGTCCCCAGTCGGCCTTCTCAGTGTATGCCCAATCCATCTCGACTTCCTTCTGCATATTTGTTGAGCGAAAAGTTCTTGGTCGCTTCTTTGCCAGAGTTCCTTGTTGCTGATTCTTTCTGGCCATCTGATCTTCAGTAACGAGCGTAGGCAGCTGTTGATGAATGTCTGTAATTTGTTATAATTAGGAAACTGTTACTCTCTTACCAAACTAAACTTTCAGAGTGATTTTTAGTGATCTTCACTATAATTTAACTTGAAATAAAGTTCAGCCGCTATCTGTGTTTAAAACGAATTTCTTATTTTGTTTCCAGATGATCAGTATTATCACTAAACGTCGTGGCTTAGTTCAACATGAAGTACAGATCTATTCAGCCTTACTGTATATACTTTATTTCATACTTCAGCTGCTAATGACGCTCTTTCATAAAAGATAGATTCAATATGATCAATACAGCGATAAAAACAATAAGAGCACTAATTACGTTTAAGTTCTTGTTCGATTGCCAGAGGATTATATCCGTGAATCAAACCACATGTTACTAACGTCTGTTAGGCTCTCTAATCTTTTGTGTATACAAATATTCTGATCTGAACTTCTTCATGGTATTATCATGGAAGCTGCCAGTCCGCTCTCCTGTTGTTCTAAACATCTAACTCCAATGGATGAGACCATACAAACACCTAACGGTAATTGGTGTTATAAGCCTAATCAAAACGGCATTATTTACCCCAGTCTGAACCACTGTTGCTAAACTGTACTCTGATTAATATTCGTATTTTCTAATGATGTCTGTAACACCTCGTTATAATTAATCATTGATGTTCTTTTTTTATTTCAGGTCAAAGCCGTTTATCTATCATCTAATCCATTTACTGTGGAAAATGGTCTGCTGACAGCTAACATGAAACTTGCCAGATCGCAACTGCGCAAAACATTTGGTGAAGCATTGCGTCTGTTATACGAAGAAACCTGCGTTTAATGTGTTGCTATACTTATTTCCAATCTATTTCTTACTACCACTTATATCTTGTGACATATTATAAGATTCTTCGAATAAATGAGGGAACCACTTCTTATAGAAAACTTTTCTCGGTAGCCTTCCCTTGTTTTAAGCGTTTATTTCTGTGTCACCTTACCGAAGAACACATTTGTTTACTCTACCTCGCTAAATCCCATGACTAGTGACTCACTACTGGATTTACTCGGCAAATATTTGTGAAATATCTTTCATCTATTTTTGCTAAAATGCTAAAATCATTGTTTTTGTGATGAACCCATTTCAAATTGTGTAATTTGTTGAAATATAACAATATACACTTGTCTTTCTATTCGTGTTTCCATTTCTCCTAAATTTCATGTACTGTTGTACCGTGAAACAAGGTTTCCTTGTCATCCGATCGCATGCTTCGGCACGCCACAGTAATTAGGTATCCCAGTCGAATCTACGAATAACGTATCTTTTTGAAGGATTGAACAAACAGACATAATAGACATTTTCATACATTCAAAACCTGATTAAATAAATCAACGAGTAGAAACACTGTACCTCGTGAAGTGATCAGGCCATTTCCTAGCCAGACAAGTTATAATAGTTCACCTAAACTAATTCTCGTTTGCATACTAATAAATGTATTGTTCTTCTGAGTTTTTTTAATAATGACCTGTGCATCTTTTTTATTTGAAAGTACTTACTGACAGAACCTCGCCTGGTTAACTAGTTCCTAGCCCGTCCTAAGCCCGAAATAACAGGGAAGGTTGGGTGTAGGGCTAGCCACCCTACCCCTTAAAACTAATCTAATCGCTAAACAAACTTCAAAGCACAGACAAAATATAAAAAATGAAAACAAAATTATCCCCAATTGGAATCGGAGAGGCGGAGTGACACCGGTTGGTGAAAGCCTTCGGGAAGCCAATTGGCCGATGTGTCTTCTCTCCCTCGATGAGAGCGAAAGCAAACGTGGGGACATGGAATGTCCGCACCATGTTTGAACCTAACAAGGCTGTCCAGAGTGCAAAACAGATGAGGGGACATCGCATGAAAGTGCTGGGAATCTGCGAAAGCAGATGGAGTGGAAGTGAGCTCTCCAAACTGTCAGCTGGAGAGTCAATAATTTGCTCCGGTCACCTAGACGACAACCATGAGCACACTGAGGGAGTGGCTATCATGATGTCCCCAAGAGCATCGAAGGCTCTCATGCAGTGGGAACCAATCTCCCCAGGATCATGACAGGAAGGTTCAACTCAAAAGGAATCAAAGTCGCAACCATACAATGTTACACTGCGCACCTACAAATAATGCAGACCAATGGACGAAAGAGGAATTCTACAGGCAACTGCAGTCAGTAACAGACAAGACTCCAGTTGAGGACATGAAAACTCTAATGGGCGGCATGAGTGCGAAACTGGGAGCAGACAACACAGGTAGAGAACCAACCATGGGTCGAGAAGCACTCGGTGAAATGAGTGAGAACGGAGAACTGTTCGCAGAATTCTGTGCGTTCAACGACTTGGTGATTGGAGGTGAGGCACTGTGTTCAAGCACAAGGATATCCACAAAGCGACATGGATTTCACCAGGACACACCGAAAATCAGATCGACTTCATTTCAATATGAAGAAAGTGGAGATGCAGCCTACTTGACACAAAATCAAGAAGGGGAGCACATGTGGGTTCACACCGCTCACTATCTAGTGCAGGGTGCCTTCCAAATCAAGTTGAAAGCCTTCATAGAAGTTGGTGATAGACCACAGTTCAAGTTCAGCACCCAGAGACTGAAGGACGAAACTACAAAGGATATCTTCGCGCCGGATAGCCATCAAGACAAAATGGGAGATATCGAGCAACATCCCTGAAGGAACCTGAGCGGAAGAACACTGGAACTGTTTGGAAGAGATGTAGAAAGAAACCTGCACAACCGTCTTAGAAAAGGAGATAAGGAATGGATCTCGTTGGACACATGGAAGCTAATAGAGGAGAGGATGACGGTGAAGCAGAAGATAAACCAGTGCAGGGGCGAACAACGAGAAGAACCAGAACAGGCTGCAGGTAGGAGAGACCTGACAACCTTGTATCAAATAGCCAGGTTATTATCTGGGAAGAGATCAACACAGATGAAACCAATAAAAGATGATGAAGGAAATCTAATTACCAAAGAAGAGAAACAAAGGGAACGATGGACTGATTACTTCAAGAAGCTCCGGAATCGACCATCCTCTGCACATCGTCAAAAAGTAGCGCCTGCAGCCACAGAGATACCAGTGAACACAAATCTTCTGACAAAAGTCGAAGTCCTGAGCGCCATAAAGCTACCGAAATGCGGAAAAGCAGCAGGACCAGATGGAATCCCACCAGAAGCACTGAGAGCAGGCGCAGAGACAACAGCGGACATGCTCACACCACTATTGCAGAAGGTCTGGAAGGAAGGGAAGGTACCTGCAGGTTGGAAGAGGGGCTATCTTGTCAAACTCCCAAAGAAGGGCAACCGAAGTCTTTGCCAGAACGAGTGAGGAATCATGCTTCCGTCCACTCCAAGGAAAACATTAAGCCGCATCATCCTGGAGAGACTGAAGGATGAGCTGGATTTAAAATTAGGACCGGAGCAGGCTGGCTGGCTTCAGGAAGAACAAATCATGTGCGGACCAAATTGCCACGCTACACATCATCACAGGACAGAGCATAGAATAGCAGTCAACGCTCTATCTCAACTTCATCGACTTTGAAGAGGCCTTTGACAGCGTCGACCGAGAAGTAGTCTGGCAACTGCTTCAACACTACGGGATACCACAAACCTTTATCAATCTCATTCAACAACTATATGAAGATGGCACATGTCAAGTACTTCACAATGGGAAGCTCAGTGATGCTTTTGAGGTGAAGACGGGAGTAGGACAAGGCTGTATACTACCACCCATGACCTTCCTGATCGTGGTGGACTGAATCATGCAACAAACAGTGAAGAGCTTTGAGAAGAGGGGGATACGCTGGACGGCGGAAAAGAACCTTGAAGATTTAGATTTTGCCAATGACTAGTGTCTAATGTCACACAAACTTGGAGATCTACATGCGAAAGCTAACAAGTCGACAGAAGAGGCAGGGCAACGAGGACGGGACTTCAAGTGAACGTAGAGAAGACAGAGGTTATGATGATACCCAACTAACACCACCACCAACAGCAGCAACAAGCTCCAATCATCATCAACGGGAGAAACTTAAAGGAAGTAGCCTCTTTCACCTACCTGCCAAGTCAGCACTGTTTCAACTACAGGTGGCGGCACAGACGAGGACGTCAAAGCCAGGATCGGAAAAGCAAGACAGGCGTTCATTAGTCTGAAACCAGTGTGGAGATCTTCTGCACTCAGCATGTGGAACAAGATCCGGATTTTCAACACCAACGTCAAGTCAGTGCTTCTATATGGCTCAGAGACTTGGCGCGTTACGAAAGGGATTTCCAAAAAACTACAGATATTCATCGACAACTGCCTACACCCACTCGATACTGAAGATCAGATGGCCAGAAAGTATCAGCAACAAGGAACTCTGGGAACGAACCAACCAAGAACCTGTTGCTCAACAAATATGCAGAAGGAAGTGGAGATTGATTGGGCATACACTGAGAGAGCCAGTTCCTCGAGTGGAACCCAGATGGGAATCGATGAGTTGGGCGTCCGACGGCGAAATGGGGTAGACCGTGCGAGGAAGAGATGAGAGCTTCTGGGCTGTCGTGGAGCCAGGTTCAGAAGATTTAAGAGAACGGAGTGCACTGGAGACGTGCTACTTAAGCCCTATGTTCCACTTGGTACCTAAGGGACAATCATATCACGTATTGTCGGCAGCTGGACGTAGGAAAAGTGATGACTGGACGGACAATACAGAGATGTCAAATTGGGATTTCAGAATCACTACACGAAAATTTGCTAGTTTGAATTTTCTCTTCGGGAATTCTTACAATCTGTTGTAGTTGTTTGACAATGCAGCTTCTATTCTTATTGCATATGACATGCATTTATATACTGGGTGATGATTAAAGGGTAAATGAAAATTCGGGCCTCAGCGGGATCCCAACTAGTGACCACCGGTTTTTGGTTCGGTGCTTTACCAACTGAACTACGAGATTAGACTGCTGACTACATTTTTATTTTACTTCAATCATCAAAGGTTTTTCCTTACTGCCTTGGGAATTCATGACGCATTACTACTGCTTTGTCGTACTCAGCCGGTATCAGTACCAGTATCCCAAACCACGGCTATCTCAGATAGTCAAAACGATGTACTTAGATTTTAGCATTGGCCTGGTTAGAGCATAATTGATTATTTACTCTAAATTTCTTATATTTAAGCTATTTTTTTCATGAATCCACCCGCACGATTGCCTCAAGCTTATGCTTTCTGATATGGGATGAATCAACACAACCAGTACGATTTTTGAGAATAGTTATCAAGACATTATTTTGAAGGAGGCAGATTCGTCACGAAAAATTATTCTGACATGTATGTCTCCTATTAGAAATCCCAGCTTTTCTGTTTACAGAAAACCCGATCTCTCCGCTATTTTTGACATGCTCCGTGCAACGCGCCTGATCGATATTTGTTACTGGTCTACTTTACTCAACCTCAAGTATTTTATAGTGGATCTTCTAACTGTTTAGATTTTCAAACCTACTCACGGCCAAATCCCTTGCATTGGTTATTCTTAAAGTAAGTTGTTAGATTCATATCTGCTCTTTCGGTAGGGATTTTATCCGCTCATCCACTTTACATATATATTTCCTCAGTCTCACTTTTATGGCTCCATTTCTTTTAGTATGTCAGACAATAATTTTGACAATCCTAAGGAACCAGGATTCATAGGACCCTCTCTTTCAAAGTCCTTATTTCTGAGCATGATCATCTCAGTTGTGGTTTGCTAAGTCCCAACCGATAGGTACAACCGTGGGTGATCTGGAATGTTTAGGAGTCAGTAGACAAAGACCCTTCAATGCA